CGTTGCTACCAAGATATGCCTGCGGAGCACGCCCGGTAGCAGTTTTATTTGATTGTGTTTATCTGCTTGATTACTGACCACACGAACGTGTCAAAACTTTTTAAACAAGTACGAAAATGCCGAATGAAATTCTGCGAAACGATAAATATTTTTAAAAAGGTCTTCAGCCAGGAGCGTATATTAATTCGGAAGTAAAAACATTTGTTGAAAATTTAAACTATTTAATTCATGGCTGTTCTCAAGATCTGAAAAGGTACCCCTGGGTAAGATGGGAAGACGTTCCCGGAATCTAATGACATATCAATAGTTAAACTATCACTGACATAAAATAAGATTTTTGAAAGGTTTCTTAGCCCCCCCCCCCATCCCCCATTCTTACATAGCCATAAACGTGTTTTATTTATTTTTTCATCAACATATCTTTTCTAATTGAAAAACATACGAAAGTAGGCAAATTTATACTATCGAAACAAATGGTTACAAAAAGTGTTCTGTGTCTAATTCAAACGCCAAAAAATTAAAGAAAACTAAAAGTAATTGTTACTGTGCTGAAGAAAAATCTCAAAATTTTCTCTCAAAAGTTGTTCGTTTCTTTCATATTTTTAGATTGGTCTGCTGTATTTATAAAATAAAAACTATTTTGATCCCGTTTCCGCCTTTAGAAACCACTTATGAGTGCAATATACTTAAATTGCAGAATTTCGAAATTAATAGCACATTATCGCTGTCGTTTACTAGGATTCTGAAAAATGTCTAAGATAAAATTGGAGTGAAGGGTGATGATAATAGAATGGAATGACACTTTCATTATAGGATTATAGTTGAAGACACGGTTTGATCCTGGGATGTTTAAAATATCAATTATATTCATAATTATTAAACAATGAATATAAACACTCATATACATTTACTAAGTTATAAACTTATTTTTTTAGAAGTTTGTTCTTAAAATATGATCAAAGGGATTTCTGTACACATCTCATTCACTTGCATACGTTTTGCGCGTGATGGTTAGATTTCAAGAAAGATTCGTAAGTCTGCGAAATACATTATGCCGAACAAGTAGTGAATGTTAACTAAACATACACAAACTTACTACTCGCATTGCTCGTAAATGTTTCGGGAAGAACGTACTGTAATTATATTGTTCCAACAGGCCCGCCCCCCTCGTCACGCTGGCTCCGTGATGACAGCCTTCTCAGAGTTAATTACCTTGCTTTACGAATACCATTTAGTGTATTTATACAAAATATAAGTGTTTTAAACAATATCCCACTTAACATTGAATGACTCGCTGTCAAAAGCGAAAAGAAAATTGAATTAAATATTCGGTCCACCTTAATCCACTAAAATACAAAAAATGATGTAAAATAATTACCCAACATCGCATTTATCGGAAGGAGAAGCTGCTTCTCCAGTTGGAGTAACAAGGGTGGGCATGTTTGCGCTAAAGAGTCTGGTTTTATTCCACTGTTTATGATCATATGGGTTTGCAGTTTGTTTGAAGACGAATCTTTCGCGCGTGAATGGACGCCAAATGTTTCACAATTTTAGTTAGGAGGTTAATGTAAGATTTTAAGTGAGATCGATGACTCGACCAGTGATTACGAATACATCGTTTATACTCGATTAGTTTCTTTACTACAGGTGGTACTGCTGGAAGCGAAGTGCGTTGATGGGCTGTCAGGGCCGTTTAGTCGAGGACATCTAATATAGTATGAGTGAGTCAATGGCGCTGTCGATTTCCTTCGTGGTACGGAGTAATGGCAGTGAAGGTAGAAGATGTGTAACTAACGTCTGATAATATGGCCAGTTGACATACGTAAATGATAAGGCTGAGCGGGGCGAATTTCTTCTGTGGTTGTGTCGAGTGAGGAAACTAAGGGGCGATGATCAGATTGCAGGGCGATAAGTCTCGACATGAATTTTACAACTAAAGTTGTTAGAAACGTCGAAATCTAGTATATCAGCATGCACTGACGCGCGGTATGGATAGTAGCTGAGTGTATCAGGAGCATGTACAGCCAGATTTAATCTTTGTATGTCAGCAAGCAACAGATCACCAGCAGGTGAGTTAAGTCTACTTCCCCAAGCAACGTGTTTAGCATTCCAATCACCGATCACTAATGTTTGTTGACGGGAGGAAAAAGAGGTATCACGATCACCTGATCAGTATGGAATATAGGGGCTTGTAAATTGAAGTGATTATTGGGGTAGGTTGACAATTCTGCTGAATAGCCAACTCGACTAGTCCCAAACTTCATGATTTCCCCCTGGTTTCTCTTACACGAGCGTTTATAACGCATTGTCCATGAATTTGAGTACTTTTATTTTGTTCCACTCTTTAAACAATTCTTGCATTTAGAGCATACTGGGCATCGCAGTTATCACAGCACGTGGCCATATGAAACTGAGTGAATGGAATGTGCAGTAGGTGCTATTATTTGAATTCGGTTACATATATTTGTAAGGTTTTATAATGCTTTATACAGTATATTATAATATGCTAACAAAATATGATTTTGGTAGTTTATAAGAAACCATAGCCATAAAACTAGGGTACTAGTATACTACTGAGGGGCAGAGAATTGCACCCCATTACTGCATTAAACAAATTTCAGACAAAAAATAGAATTTTGCAGCTTATAACATTCAAAACCGATCGCAGCACTCATTGAAATCATTCCGTTGGGATACAGACTTTTTAGAGGATAGGAGAGTTCTGACAGTGTTGGGAGCGTGCGGGGACGCGCAACCATGGCCCCGAGTGGTCCTGGGTTCATTGATTCGCCCGAGTAACAAGGGTGGGTAGTTTGGTAGGTTTTCGCAAAAGATGTCGGGTTATATTCCAGTGTATGATCATATGGGTTTGCCGTTTGTGTTTGAAGATGAATCTTTTGCGCGTGGATGGACGCCAAAGGTTGTTTCAGTTTTAGTTAAGTTTATATAAGATTTTAAGAGATAGATGACTCAACCAGTGATAACGAATATATCGTTTGTACTCGATTAGTTTCTTCACTACAGGTGGTATTGCTGGAAGCAAAGTGCGTTGATGGGCTGTCGGGGCCGTTTAGTCGAAGGCTAATGTAGTACGAGTAATTGAGTCAATGGCGCTGTCGAGTTCTTGCATTCCAATCACCGATTACTTAAGTTGGTTGACGGGAGGAAAATACTCGTAAGTTATCAATATCACCTGATCTGTATGGAATATTAGGGGGGCTTGTAAATTGAAGTGATTATTACGGTAGATTGATATTTCTGCTGAATAGCCACACTAATAATTCCGAAAGTATTATTTACATTTAAAGGTAGCTGGTGATATGTAATGGAGTACACTTATGGAACTAATGATAAT